AACTTAATCAAATGGTTTTTCAAAATTAAAAACAGTCAAATAAAGCACCTGCTGCAATGCGCAGAGAACCTATTTGATTGCTACAACCAATCCAAACTGCAGTTAAGTGAATAAAGAAACCAGATTCGCACAAACTGGACTAAATCAACTCATTCTGAGGAAACGATGTGAAACAACAAACCTAACTAAACCATCGCTAACCACATTACATTGTGACCAAAAGCTTGTCAATTGAACTAAATAGCTCTAAACCATTGACCAAATTGAACCTACCAACTAAATCAAAACACATCATTCAAATCATGTCGCCACGACGTGGTAAACTCCCACTCAGACAAGATGTTATGCAATTTAACTCCCCAGGATAAGAGCACAAAAAACACAATGACACTCCCTGTGTAGTTCTGAAGGAGTACTGCACTGTTGAAGGGTTAGTATTCAGGGAGTGCCACACTCTGGGAGGGTCAGTGCTGAGGGAATGCTGCACTGTTGGAGGTGCTGATATTTGATTAACAGTTCAGGCGGACATATTTTTTTTAAAAAATCATCTGGTTCCTTTGTTTTGGCCAATATTTTTCCCTCAGTTGATATCTCCAAAAACTGGTTAGCAGGTCATTACCATTTTGCTGCCTGTTGGATTTTGCTGTGCGCAATTGACTGCTGCACCCTTTACTCTAGAACAGTGCCTACACTTCAAAAAGACTTCATTGGTTGTACAGCTGTTTGGGAGGTTTTGAGGTTGTAAATGACATCAAAGAAATGTTTCTGCAATCCTTTAATGTAAGGGATTGGGTTTTGGTTTTCCTGAATGCTGTAAAGCTACAAAACACATCCTCCAGATATACCCGGCATCAATTTCCCTATAATAAACTCCTGTTAACTTGTTTCATCCTGTAAAATGAGCAGGAGGCCTGTGTTGACTCTCCTAGTCACCAACTAATACCTGAACCTATGATATATTTCAAGATGGAGTTTGGGAAGAACAAAACCAAAGTCAAATGTTGTGGAGAATGTAAAAATGGCCTTTATAGCAATTAGCATTCACAGAGCATCAAAAATAAACTTTCTTTTTATTCACCTGTGGGACATGAATGTTGCGGCTGGTTGTCTCTCCCTAGTTGTTCTCGAGAAGGTGGCTGTGAGCTGCCTTCTTGAACCGCTGCAGTCCATGTGCTATAGGTTGAGCCATGTGTCATTAGGGAGGGAATTCCATGATTTGAGCCAGCGACAGTGAAGGAATGGCGATATATTTCCAAGTTGGGATAATGAGTGGTTTGGAAGGGAATTTGCAGGCAGTAGTGTGGGTGGTGGAATCAACTTGGCGGCACAGTAGGACACTCTAGCCAGAGCTCTTCTGCCCGCCAGTTCCCTTTCCTTTTTTCATTTTTTTTCCTTCTTTGCTGCAGTTTTTTCTTTCCTCCCTCCCCCAACTTTTAACTTCTTAAACCACCCTACCTGGAGGGAATGGAGAACAGAGCAGGCCAGCGTGGGAAATGAGTCGTGGCTGGAGCCTGGAGCGGGAACAGAGTGTGGGCCGAGCTGGGAGCTGAGTTGCAGGCCAGAGCTGGAGCCCAGAGTGGGAGCACACCGAGTCCTGGAGCGAGTCCAGGACAGAGGTCAGCGTGTGGAGGCAGCAAGGCCTCGTGTTCTGAGGGCCGGCAAGCACAGACTCAATGATTAAAGGACTATAACTTGAGTACTTTATGGATACTTTCTATTAGAATTTTGGACTTTTTAAACTCTGTATTCCCATGCTAGTCTATTTTTTACTATTTCAATTCTGTTTTTTTACTATTTCAATTCTGTAACAACACTTAAAGTATCTGTATCTAGGTACCCTGAACCTAAGATGGCACCAATAGGCGACATTACAAACTTTTCACTGCACTCATTCAAATGCATGTGACAATAAAGGCTATTCTAGTGCAGTATCTACTGCCCTTGTCCTTCTAAATGGAAGTGATCATGGGTTTTGGAAGATGCTGTCTAATGATCGTTGGTGAATTTCTGTGGTGCATCACTGCTGCTACTGGGTAAAGGTGGTACTCACAATAGTATTTCCTAGCGTCTGACTTGACCTACATGCAGATTAAAACTGTTTTATAACAGGGTAGGGTATACCTAAAAAGAATAAATGGACAGAAAGTTTAATTAGCAAGTAACTACAATGCTTCAAATGGTTTATCAGTGGAAATCAAATCAATTAACCAATGAAAACTAAACCAAACTGAATGAAACCACACAGGTAACCAAATGACAGAATCCATCTCCATCTGTAGACCACAACAAACTCATCACCGAACACAGCAACTCTCACCATGACAGACATCAACGCCCATAATGAATATCAAGGTGCCCACACCAATGATAAGCCACCTCTTGCTGAACAGGGCCAGAGTTTAGCCCATTCAAACCAAACTTAACTAAAAACCAAACAAAACAAAACTCAATGACACCAAATAATAAACAATGTTGCAAAATGACAAGGCAAATAACTGAGCTCAGTATGACTGCAAGCAACCTCACATCAAACACAAAGTCAAACCAAGTGACTTTAAATCCACTAAACCAATACTCAACCTAACCATGCCTCACAAATCCACTAGCCCACACTATAGCCCAAACAAATGTACCAAAATCACATGTACCAAAGGAGCAAATATTAATGAAAAGGCCTGAGCCACACACCCTGGGTCGTGTAATTAAGTGGTGGCTTGTGTGATGAGAACTTGCAGTGTGGCAAGGTTCACAAAAATCATCAATAAACAAATGACAGGGACACCACGTCACAGGACTGGCTACAGGTGCTCCATCTCCAGTTGAATTTTAAGTTTGCAGAGAAATGGAAGTTGATTCTCACCAGAGCAAGGTCTCCACCACTTAGGGGTTACACTACAATGCAAAACTCCGTGCAACAAAGCTAACAAATCCAAATTTGTCCACTGGACTGCTCTGGTCTTAGTCCTCCCTCAGGGGCTGTTTGTACTGGGTAGCCTGGCCCCCAGGTTAGTAAACACCCACATCTAAATGAACTGATGTCCTGTCAAGCTGTGGGAGCAAGCTTTCAGCTCTAGTCTACACAATGTGGACATATCCCATTACTAACCTGGAACTGTGTGCATTCTGCAATCCCTGCAGAAATTGCTCATGCCTTATATCAGTTGCACATTACTGTTTCTTTCTCCTTTTCTACTCGTTTATAACTTGTTTGTCTTTCCCGGAGCGACAAAAAGACCTAATTTTGTACTTTCCTTCTTAATGCTCTCTGAAGCATTGAAAAGGATCATATGACCATTCTTGTATTCTTAAATGGCTGGTTTATCAATAATAATTCCTCAAAATCAGTGCTCTACATTGGGCAATGAAGATTGATTAACTGATGATGGTTCCCATTTGCTTCTGCACTTGTAACAGCTGTCATTGTCCCCTTGTTTCAGATTCTTCTCCCCCGCACCCATCAAATACTGACCCAACGTAGTTAGATCATCTCGTAATAATCTAGACTTGAGGGATTGTAGGTCTAGTTGTGCTGACTGAGGACCAGAAATGAGTGATGTCCCACACAGTCAAACTCACGGTCCAGGCTTGTACATGTTTCTTGAGTGAGGTAAGGGAGCGTTACCATGGAAACTATCCTTTGGGATTGAGTCCACGCATTCAGGAACTTGGGAGAAATGTCAGTAATAACATCCCAAAGCAACGGAAATGGAAGTATCTAAAGGGATCTGGAACACAAACACAAGGCTGGATATCTTTGCGTGGCATTTGCTGTTCCTCAGCACATCCTCCAGTACACACAAAAACGAATGAGCTGCTTTCAAAGAAACTTCAAACCGCCAGGTCAATGATAGACACTCAATACAAGGAAGAGGAAAGAGCCCAAGGTTGTACTAGAAATTTTAATGCATTTCTTTATTTATTTTCTGTTTAACAGCAGTGTATTGCCAGAACTGATAGTTTAAGTTGTACATTGGACTGGGTGAATACAATAGTGATATAGCCATTGGTCACACAATCATTATTTCTGTGCATTGAACAGAAGTTACATGTTAAACACTAACATGCAGTAAACAAGGCAGATCATAGATCTACTGACAGTGAATCTCAGACAGGGCCTAAAGGAACGAAAGCACTTGATTAATCTGGGTGCAGGAGAAAATGTGGAAATGCAAGTTTGAAGGAGATGGGGAATGTCAGGAGTAAGTAATTGAAGAGAAAAAGTTTTCTTCCCTGAAAATACTCAACTTGACAAGAATGGGTTGCCTGTGATTCCCTCGCTGATAGCAACGGTTTGTGGGACCTGTTTACCAAATGAATCCTCTCAGCCTTGAGACTTCAGTGTATCTGTTTCACATTTTCTTGCTAAACTGAATGACAAACTAAGCCTTCCAGAAGAGCTCTGTAAATGACAGGGGATCGATCGACATACGGACGGAAAGATGGCAATGACCTGCATGCCGATTGGACCAACCAGTGGGCATCCCATTTCATGCTGCAAATTGCCCCTTTACCCCAAGGCAGTTAATGCATAGCATGCCCAAAATCAGCTTTAATCATCCAGGGATTTAATAGATCCTGCACCTGATTTGCTTTAGGGAGCGAAGGAAACGTCTGATTAGAACGTCGTGCTACTAGCACAAGGTGAAAACAGGTATAATGTGCATGCAGATGCACTCATGCAGAAATAAAAATAGGCTTAGCTTCTCTGTGGTTTCAATATTAGTGCCACATTGGAACAGTCTGTCTTATGCTGCTGTAAATTTAGATTGTGGTGGAGGCGACTATGGATTCACACAATGCAGTTAATGCTGGTTGTACCTGAGCAGCTAAGGTTAAAATGGAAGTATAAATGAGAAATATTTTCTAGGAAAATCCCAAAACAGATCAACTTCCAGGGGATCCATCTCCAACTCACAATAACCACAGAATCATTTCACAAGAGCACCTCACCAAGAGAGTCAATGACAGAATCCCTCATTCACAGAAGCTCAGCACATACAGCCTCACTCTCAGAAACACAACCTTACAGTCCCTCACTCTCTAGGAGCCCAAACATGCAGTCACTCACTTACAAAAACCCAATCTTACAGTCTTTAATTCAAAGGAACCTAACTGTATAGTCCCCCACTCATTGGAAAAAACCTTACAATCCCTCACTCACAGGAACCCAACCGTAGAGTCTCAATGATTTCCTGTGGCAAAGAATCCCACTGGCTCACCTATCTCTAGGTGAAGAAATTCCTCTCATCTCTATCCTAAAAGGCCTTCCCAGATCCTTAAACTGTGAACCCCTGCTTCTTGAATTAGGGTTCCCTGACCATTACAACATTGCCCACACTTACTGACCATCACAGAAGTGTCCACACCTACTGACCATCACAGAAGTGTCCACACCTACTGACCATCACAGAGGTGTCCACACCTGACCATCTTGGAGGTGTCCACACTTACTGACCATCATAAAATGCTCCCCAATAAAGCCCATTACATGCACTCATAGAAAATCCCCACATCAGCTTTAAATTAATTACAATTTACAACTTGAAATGTTTGGTCCTTGGGCTGTATATACGAGACATGGAATGTAAACATTAAGACAGTTATAATTGCGTTACGTGGAACATGCTCTACAGAAGACAAGTTGAATTTGATAGCAAATTCTGTAATATTCAAATTGAAATGTTTTGTAATCTCTTTTTCAGGTTTTATGAATAAAGTATTTTTAAAGAATATTTTATTGCAAACACAGTGCAATATAGAGAGTTTGCAAATTTCTATTTCAGCCAATCCGTGTTGAACAGGTACAGTGAAGTTGAGGTGAATGGATTCCTTTAAAACTCCTGGGATCTCCCTATCCTGATCTTATAGATAATGACATTATTCGGTATTTCCTACATTTTTCAAGCTTTCGTTAATTAACAAGTCTGGCTCACAAAGCAATGAACACAATTAAATAATCTTTTTTATTAAAGTATTATCAGGTGGGGTGTGTGCACGTGCACACAATGAAAAACGTACCATTAACATCACTTGTAAATACATGGTGGTTTTTAGGTATTTTAAAATTGATTTTTCCTTTCATACATGTATGGAATTATTACTTATTTTGACACCGTCCTAGGAACTTGATGCGGTCGGGGAGATTTCAGCAGCTTTATACACAAAGACCCGTTTTTGTCCCCACTTTTTTGCTGCGATGCTGGAGCTGGCGATCGGAGCAGGGTTTGTTTCTCTGAGGCTCAGTAGGAGGCAGATTGTGTGGTGTATCTTGGGGTATGCTCAATTGGCGTAAACGTTTCAGCTCAGGTGGAGTTCTCCAGGCGCTGGGAGTGGGATCAAAATATGAAGAAATCGACAAACCGCGTTGTCAATCTTCAGATAGATGGTACAGATGGGCTGAGCCACGAAACAGCGAGGAAAAGATTTATCAAATGTTCAACACAAATGGTGAAGGAATGGTCTTGACGCGAGGTGCTAGCAGCGGACTCCACTTCGCTTTAGGGTTTAAAAGCCCAGTTGTATCTCGGTATCGGTACAGATTACGAAGAAGCGAACACAAGCAGAAACTGGGAATGGGGTACGGTGTCATTCTGCGGCTGTGAGCAGCCTCCCAGGGCGGTGGATTCAAACACTGCCATGCACTATTAGCAGATGCATAGTTTAAACTGGCGAAGGAAGAACAGATCTCGGAGCTGGGCGAGTGGTAACAAACCGTCTGCACCACAAGATCTCCTGGATGGCGGAACAGGGAATAGGGAGGGCGACCAAAGCCGTTTTGTATTTCCACACAGGCCGCATGCAGATCTCTTGCAAGGCCGGTTGGGGGTGGGTTAGGGTCAAGCCGCGATGATATTTGCAGAGAGACATTTGTGCTACTTTCATTGGTGCAGAAAACCATCAGGTAACCACAGTAACAGTGAACCGACAGGTTAACGAGCATCTAAAGAGACAGCATCCCCCCCTCCCCTCACTGTTTAAAATGAAGAATCAAAAGCCTCAATTTGTGATGGTGAAGGAGCTGCATCCTATGTGTGCAGCCAGAAATTAAAGCTCCCCACTTCACATCTAAACTTTGGTTGTGGATTATGGAATTATTTGCTATATTTACAATTATGAAAAATAGATGAAGCCCCCAAAATGTTTTTGTGGCCCCCAGTGTTGTTTTACTGATCTTTGTAAAACTGAGGAGTCTTCAGTTTCATCTGACACTCTGTATCTGGAACTCCCTCAGTTTGAATTTTTGTTTATTGTGCTGTTTCTTTTTTGTGCTGATTCATCCAACTCCCGAACCCCCATGAATCACAAATCCTGTCACTGGCCTGCTTAGGGAACATCTGATCTCTCGCTGATTTTTAGAGCAGAAGAAACCTAGACCCATCCTGAGAAGTTAAATTAGTGTTCGCTTGTAAAAAGAATCCATGACACTATATGACTGCAAAGTCCACATAATTCCAAATGCGAACCAAAGGAAAATATTTCAGACGCTGGAAATCTGAAATGGAAACACTGGAAACACTCAGCAGGTTCAGCAGCATCCATGAAGCAAGAAGCAGAGTTCACGCTTCAGGCTGATGGCTTTCCATTATTTTTCTGAACAAAGGTCGCTGAGCTGAAACCACTAATTCTTGTTTCTCTCCACAGATGGTGCCTGACCCGCAGAGCAACGTTCCCTGTAATACGTTTTCCACTGTGTGGAGTTCCAAGGTCCATGCGCCAAATGCACCAATGAAACTGTACAGAACCTCCCAGGGGTTGTGGCCTTGCTGAGAGTGTCCATAATCTTCCACTTCTTGTGTCATTTAAGATGGAACTAGGTACAAAAAACTAGAGCAGAGAAAGAGCATTTAGCGTGCGTCACTCTGATGTGGAACTGTCCAGTCGGTTTGTGAAGTGACATCTTTAAGGTTACATGTCATTGCAAGCTCCCTTACTTACTCATTTGCATCGCTGGAACGGAATGTTCTCTAGAGAGTGAATTCAAGTGTACCTTTCAACCAGAAAGATGAAGAATTAAACTGTTTCCACTGGTGGGAAATCATGTTACCAGAGGACACAGATTTAAAACATTTGTCAAGTGAAGGAGGTGAAGAGATGGCAAAAGAATGAGAGAAGGAGATGAGATTTTTTTTAAAACAGAGTTGTGCATTGCTGAAGAAAAACATTTGTTGAAGATTTTCATCTTGCATTTATCAGGGATATGCAAAAATAGCAATGTTACACTGTCACATTGTATGTGCAGTATCAATGTGGTTTTCCCATTACATTGCTATTTCTTGCAAATTGACTTGGTGAGAGCAAGCTTTGATAAATGTTGTTGTATTTCCAGCAATACTCAGTTCTATATATCTAAATAGCTGCAGTGAGATATTGACATCTTGAGAGGGCAGCCTGAGAGGGTGATGGAAACAGATTCAATAGAAACTTTCAAAGAGGAGTTAGATAAATACTTAAAAAGGACAAAACAAAAAAGTAAGCTGTGAGCAAAGAGCGGGGAAGTGCATCTAACTGAGTGAAATCAACCAAAAGACTAGCACAGACATGATGGGCCAAAGGTCTCCTTTTTAACTGTCTGATACAAAAGATGCCACACTTAAGAATATGCAGCTGTGTCACAAGATGTCAAAATCTCAGAATATAACAATACTGCAAGTTAAACTCACTAACATATAAATGACATCATTGCCTGAAGGTAAAATAGGACGACTGGCAGTAACATCAGTTTCTATTGCAAAAAGCTTCAGACTGGATACTGCATTTGGAATTTCAAATTGGAAGTTTTAACAAAGTTTTACCTGGCGCTGCACTGACTAACTGGTCCAGAACACACAGTTTTCAATTTTGTCGCTCCAAATAACAGCAAAAATAAATGAGCGGTATTTCCAAGTAATGTTTTTTTATGGCTTAACATTTTAATGATTTCTGCTATGTCTGTAAAGCAAAGCCCTGAATGTTACCTTGTATCTCAAAAACAAGGCAGCAAATTGGAAGAGAGAAGACAGGTTCATGTTAACTCTACCTCTGAAAGAAGGGTCTGACCTCAAATAGTGATTGTTACTTACTTTTCAAACAATGATTACATTTCTGGAACTTTCTGCTGTTATATCAGAGATTCAGCATTTGCAACTTTAAAAAAATACTTACTGTTAGTGCACTAAACATGCACATATAATTATAAATGCAATTCCTATTCTCTACAAGAATACAGGGTGAAGGCTGTCTCTTTACAATGAACAAGGCAAGCTCAGTTCTGTTCAAGACCCATTTGATCTCAGCCCTGAAACCCATTCCTCCATAATCTAATTCTGAGCATCAAATTGAATCCCATACAGAATGAAGAAAAAACTATTGGAGCATACTTAGCCAAGAACTAACAAGAACAAATTCTCAGCTGCCTCTAGGCGACAAGACAAAACCTGAATGTTTCCACTCCTTGGTGCACACTGCTCTGTGGAAAGAACTCACAATAAGGTTTCCCATCACCAATTATGCTCTTTGTCAGTCCCCAGTCCTCCTCTATTTCTGGTTGCCTGTGATCTCTGCCTCAGTCCCAGTTTCAGAGGAGCTCTGACCCTTTACTGCACCAGGATGGTGTTTTAAAGAGGGTCTAGGAATCTGCTGTACATTTATTGGCATATTCAGCTGCACACACCGAGCTTAGTTCATGCTCAAGTTGTCATATGGTTACAGAGAACAATTCATTCATAAAAAGAACCAGTCAGCACAGAGATTAAAAATAAAAGAATACACTTAATTCACTCTGGGCAGGCAATTACACACGTTGACACTGAAATATACACCTTACACAACTGGAAAAATCTGCGACACTGAGAAATTATAAAATAAATGTAAATGTACAGAATAATATTGAACCTCGTGGTTTCCTATCACAGCACAGGGGACTTGCCCCTCCAGGACCTTTCAGATGCTGCAATGGAGAATGGGATGGGTGTCTCTGGCAGAAAGGAGGCTTCTTCTAGAGAAGCTGATCACAGCATCTTAGTGGCATGCTTATTGGCTTCATTGATGCGAGCTTTGTTCATATCCCCCTGGAAAGGAAAACAGACAAAGCTGAAATGAGCAGAACAGCAAATGAGAGGTTACTCATTGTTACTCTGAAAGAGCTGGCATATATGTGTGTGTGAAAAACCTTCAATCATTTGAGAAAGATACATCTGTAGCAATGATGGCAGTACAGTTCTGGAAGGATGAATTAAGATAAATTGAATGGCCTTCTTCATCAGTAACTATCTTGTGGTGCTAACTGCTCCAGTGATCAAACAAGGATGATCACAATTTCCCACAAATGATGGTGATAGTGGGTTTTTTCTCAATTAATTAAGGGACATGGGCATTGATGGTTGGGCTAACACTTATTGTCTATGCCTAATTGCTCCCCGAGAAGGTAGTGGTGAGCTGCCTTTTTGGAAGTTGCAGTCCATTTGATGTAAGTTCACCCACAATGCTCTGGGGGTGGGGGCGTTGGACATCAGCCTCAGGTTTCACCCTCATGGAACTCAAAAAGAGGGAGAATGTTTCTTTACAATGTATTAGTGCTAGACAGCGGGAATGTTCACACCAGAATTAGCTGGATTATAATGAAGAGGCATGTGAGACACAACAAAGCCAAATAGAAAATTATACTTTAGCCCAGGGGCAACTCAACGAGCTCTTCCTGGGAGTTTGTTAAACTTGCTACCTCAGGTTTTGATATTGCTTTAAGTTGAGGTTGTTGATGCATATTGCTGCACAGGTAGTTCTCAGCAAGATTCTGAATGCTCACTTTTATTTGTTGCTGAATGTTGGCTCATCAGGATGAGGGATCTCAGAATGGGAGGAAGGAGCAAACATTTCCTTGGTTCAACCATCCAGTGCCAACACTGCCAGGTCAGTCATTGCTCTCATTCTGAGCCTGACCCAACAATGTCTCAGTACGAACCTCAAAAAGATCCCTCCCTTCCTGACTGTACTGATGAGACCCTGCTCCATATGCTACATCAATCTTCCTGTGGCTTCGGAACAGAGTTAGAACCAAATACTAGTGGGTTCTGAAGAATCATTTAGTCTAGAGTCGTTTGATTGCAAGAGACTTGCACTTCACAAGAGGTCAAAGTTTTACGACAAGTGGTAGCAGATTTAAAATAGAGATGAGGAGAAATTATTTCTCTCAAAGCATCATCAATCTCTGGAGTTCACTACCCCAGAGTAGGATGGATGCTGGGCATTGAATAAATTTAAGAAGGAGATGGACTGATTTTTAATTAGTAATGGTTGAAGGGTTGTGGAGAGTAGGCTGGAAAGTGGAGTTGAGGCCGAGATGAGATGAGCCATGATGGGTACTAAATGGTGGAGCAGGCTCGAGGGGCAGACTTGCATATTCCTGGTCTTGGTTCTCATGTTTATCTCTCTAGGCTGTTTCCTAGGTTTCTCTTAGCGTTTCTCCTCCCAGCAGCAGCTATCCACATTTCTCCAGCACCTTTCAATATATTACTGAATCTGGCTGAAAGTGAAAAATTTAGCCCAGAAAAAAAAATTCCTAAAAATCCCATCGGATGGAGCCTGATGAAATAATAGTGCAGACATGATGAGGCCTTTTAGTGGGCATTAATTGCCCTCTTAACAGCTTCAATAGGGCAGCTCAACAGAGCTTTGCACACCAGATGTAATCAGGGTAAAGGTAGGAAGGTAACAGAGACCCCAACCACTGCCCTCCAGCCTTGTGAAATGTCTTCACCAAATGCCCAGGTTTTCAAAATGCAAGTTTGCTGTTACTGAATGATTTGATCAGTCTTGTCTCCTCTCATTCTTTTCCACCTCGGGTAGTGTCCTAGACTCATAAAGTTTCACTTTTCACCCAGAATTCTCATGAGTACGTTTAAACTCTTACCTTGACCACAATCCGGTCAATCTGAGCATTCTGGGAGCCAATCTCATTGCTCATGTCAAGAGCCATATGTCGCAGGTTACCAATGATGCTTCCCACTTGGTCCAGGTTTTCCTCCATCTCATTCTCCCGAGCATCTTCTGTGACTCTGAAACCAGACCGAGGAGCATGTTAGAACCTCTGGCTGTTTGTCAGGATTTGCTCCAAGTTGATTCCAAAAAACTGAATCCATGTCAAATCGCAATATCTAAATTGCTGAGGTGAAGCCAACAATATAGGGGAGAGGTCAGTTCTGCCTCTTGGTTTTTGCTGAGAAGGGGATCACAGAATAAATGTTACACTGCAGAAGGAGGCCATTCAGTCCAATGTGTCTGTACTGGCTCTTCAAATGAGCATTGTGACTTAGTGCCATTCTCCTGCCTTTTCCTTGCACATTGTGTCTAGTTACAAAATCTTCTTTATAAGAAATCCCTGTGCGAGAAGCAGAAGCCTATTCATAACATGCTTCCCAAAAAACTATTCAAGACTGACTCCATATTTCAATTTGGCTTTGCCTTTTGCTTGTCCCCAGTGTTCCTCAGAATTATAATGCCCCATCTTTTGAATTAACTATGACTCAGAAGGCTCTGCATTCAAGCCCTATTCCTGGTTTTGACACCAAACTGAAGGGTGAATGTCCTTGCGCGGTGCAGAAACAATACTTCACTGTTGGAGGTGCCTTCTTTGGGTTGCATATGTTCAAATGAGATTCTTAGATGATATGAAAGATCTGATGACGCTACTTTGAAGAAGAGTAGGGGATGTCTCCCTAGTAGTCTCCTTCCAATAGAGCATCTGGTCATTATTACTTCACTGTTTGTGGAAGCCTGTTGTGCACCAATCAACTGCTGTGCACCAATCAACTGCTGTGCACCTTACTTTATGACAGTGATTGCATTCAAAAGATGCTGGTAAAATCCTTTCAGATGACACTGTTGAAATGGAAGCCTGTCTTTAATGTGAAACTATCTTATACATGTAAGAAGATTTTCAAATTCTGTTCCCCAGTTTGTGGTCAGTCAGCTGTTCACAATTGTGAAGAATGTGGGCAGGACAGGTGACACAGAAAATCAGCCTCATTCTGCTTGATAGCAATGATCCCCGAATTCAATATTTTTTGGGTGTGAAGACACCATCTGTGATGGATTTCTCTCCCAGATCAAAATAACACAACAACATTCACAGTGTGGTAACATCTAGAGGACTACCCCTTCACAGGCTGGGGAAGATGTTACACACTTTTGAATAGAGTGGATACAAAATCAAATCCCCATTTCTGACAGCTCCAACTGTAGTCATTACAGGAATAGGAGAAAAACGTGATTCACATAAGAAGGAATGCCGTGCTCATCAAGGCCACTTGAACTTAGTGCTGAGTTCAGACAGACCCCATTTTGATGTTTGCAAAGACTCTCAAAGTGTGAGAGTCACAAATTTATGGAGCAGATGTGAACAATCATGTAGGGTGAATAAGGTCTCTTTAGATGGTATGGTCTTAGGATTTTACAATCCCCTGTTCTTTATGTATGAAAGCTTTCAATGAGAATTTAAAAACTTTTATTTTTTAAAAAAAAAACACAACTGCTTTGATTAACAAAGCATCTGGTGTAGGATGGTAAAAGATTATCATCTGATTATACAGTTTCAACAGAGATCTCTGCTCATGTTTCCCTAAGGGCCCCTTTTATGTAATTTTGAATGCTTGGCTGAGTTTCAAAAGCTACAATTATTTCAGCGGGGTATATGAATTCTCAGTCGGGACCATTAAAGGACTAGCTGCCTTCAATAAAACAAAATATTACAAATATTGGAAATTTGAAATAAAACCAAGTGTTAGAAAAACCCTAAGTATCTTTGGCAGCATTTGTGCAGAAAGAAAGCGAGTTTACATTTTAAGTCCAAATGTGGCTCTTCACCAAATGATTAGGACAAGTATAGAAAAGTTAAAATGGTTTTTGTTCTTTATTCATAGGTTCATGAGTTTCCTTGGCCTTCTGAAGTAGTCAGTAAAAGTTGGCAAGAAAACAATGTGAATGGAAAGCACTGAAGCAATATCACGGCACTATACCAATGAATAATAACACATCACAGTGGCTTTCTTACCTTCTTGTACTAGGAGTTCCTTACAAATCTGGGGATTACTTTTACAGCTCTGGAGGTGTTATCTACACTCTACATTCTGGAGGTCTGTACATGTGATCTGAAGCTCTGATTTGTCAGCCTATCTTGGATATTGCTCATGCTGTGGTATTTTGGACTTTTGATGAGGATCGGTAATAGCACAAGCAAGGGTTACAGACTGCTGCTCACAGACCTGTAGCTTCACATTAGAGAGGTTTAACACACAGGAGCACCCAAGTACAGGCAGATGAAAAGTTTCTGTACATTTCAAAGTTGTAGATTCTCAGCTCAGCTCAGTTTCAGACAGGTGCAGAGATTTGTTAAAGAGGTCAGAACAAGGATTTCAGGGCCAGGCCTTTTTGTTTTGATTCCTCATGGGATGTGGGATTGCTGGCACAGCCAGCATCTGTTGCCCATCCCTAATTGCCCTGGACCTAAGCATCTTGCTACAGCCATGTCAGGTGGCAGGTACGAGTCAACCACTACACAAAAAACAAAGAATTGCGGATGCTGGAAATCTGAAATAAAATCTGAAATTGCTGGAGAAACTTAGCAGATCAGGCAGCATCTGTGGAGACAAAGCAGATCAATCTTTTGGGTTCAGTAACCCTTCTTCAGAACTCAAGAGTTAACCTCATTTCTATGGGTCTGGACTTACACGTAGGCCAGGCCAGGTAAGGACAGCAGATTTCAATCCCTAATAGGAACTACTGTTTTCTTGAGGTAACAGGAAGGCTCTGCTTTTGAAAAAGTGCCACATAACAGACTTATGAAGGAATTAAATGTCATACAATAAAAGGGACAGTATTAAACTGGCTACAAAATTGTCTGAGTGATAGGAAACAGACAGTAATAGTCAATGGATATTTTTCAGTCTGGAGGAAGGTTTGTAGCGGAGTTCCTCAGGGCTCAGTATTGGGACCCTTGCTTTTTCTGATATACATTAATGATCTAGATTTTTGTGTGCAGAGGCAATTTCCAAGTTTGCAGATGACACAAAACTTGGAAGAATTGTAAACAATCAGGAGGACAGTGTAGAACTCCAAAAGGACATCAACAAGTTGACGGAGTGGGCAGATTAGGTTTAATGCAGAGAGGTGTGAAGTGATGCATTTGGTCAGAAGAACATTGAAAGACAACATAAAATGGGGGTACAATTCTAAAAGGGTGCAGGAACAGAGGAACCTGAGTGACAGACCACAGATTATTTAAGGTGCCAGAACAGGTAGAGACAACACGGGCATAGAGTACAAGAGCAAGGTGGTGATTTTGAACTTTTGTAAAATATTTGTTAGACCTTAGCTGGAGTATTGTGTACAGTTCTGGGCATCAAGAAGTGAATGCATTGGAGAGATTGCAGGAATGGTTTACCACAATGGTTCCAGGGATGAGAAACTTCAGTTATGGGGATAGATTGAAGAAGTTGGGCAGTTCTTCTTGGAAGAAGAAGGCTGAGAGGATAGGTTCTCAAAATCATTAGTGGGCTGGACAGATTAGATAGTGAGAAACTCTTGCTGCTCGTAAAAGGATCAAGAGGGCACAGATTTAAAGTGATTTAAAGCAAAAGAAGCAAGGGTAAAGTGAGGGAAGATATTTTTACTCAGCAAATTGTCAGGATATGGAATGCACTGCCTAGAAGTGTGGTGGAGGCAAGTTCAATTGAGGCATTGGATGTTAAATTGGATAAAAATAATGTACAAGGATATGGGGATAAAGGAGATTGGCATCGGGTAATGGTACTTATTTACTGAGCGGTACAGGCATGATGGGCCAATGACCTCCCTCTACACTATAACAATTCAAGAGTGAACCAGATGGTTTTGTATAACAATTGACGAAGTTTATGATCACCAACACTGAGATTACCTTTCAAATTGAGATTTATTAATGAAATTAAATTCCATCAGCTGCCATGGTGGGATTTGAAGCCATGTTCCCAGGGCTTTAGGTTAGGTTCCGGATTACTCATCCAATGGCATCACCACCTTCCCCAGGACACTGTGGTAATGTGCTGGAAGAAGACCTGCTGCCAAATAGACGTGGTGGCCATGCTTTACCTGTGGTTGGCAAAGCCACCACCACCTTCCATTTGGTGACCCCCGTTTCCTTCTAGACACCTGTTGCAGACATTTACAGAATCTCACAGTCACTCACCCAGAAATACTTAAGCCAAGGCTGCCGGTCATGTCAAAGTTTCCTCTAATGATGCGAGTGAGAACAAGCAGGCACTCAGCTCTGTGGATTCTGATGGCTTCCGGTGGGCAAAGAACATAATGGACCCAAAGGCTTACCATAGGCACAGAGCACAACAGACCCATAGACTTCCCACGGGCACAGGATATTACAAATCCATAGGCACAGGGCCTCCAACACAATGCATACAATCAACAAGGAGTGCTCCTGAATTCCCAGGTGACCACTCCATAAACGTATAGCTTTGTCTGTCTAGCAGTGAGGAAGTGTATCTCCCTGCCGCCCCGCTGCAGCACACCCAGAGAAGGTCATAGAACAGAGAAACAGCTTGTGAACATTTGGACTCTCTCCTCGCAATTGCTTCTGTCAGACTCCCAATTTCAGTAATTCAATGACTGTAGTGTTTCCTCATACTGAATCAAACTTGACTCACATGGGTTATCATCGTGCCCACTCATACCAACTAGTCAGAAAACACAGAATTAATGCATTAGGTTGATGACTGCATTACAAAATACCCCAACAGACTGTGGGTCACACTGCCAGACATATGCTCCCCCAATTGCAAGATTAAAGTTCTCCTCGGTAATAACTTTCAAAAGGAATTTCATAAATGTTTAAAAAGAAAACTTTGTCAAGATGACGGGGAAATAGCTGGGGAGTGGGACCTGATCGCAAAGCTCCACCAAAGGACTAGCACAGGCACAACGTACTAATGAAGCTTCCTTCCATGCTGCATGACCTTGTGAAACACAGTTTTTCAATAGGTCACTGCAAACTCATGTGGGTTTAAGTCACTGAGGGGTTTTAAATAACTGTAGACAACGGGGTTCTTGCAGTTAAAAACCGAAAGAACTGCAGATGCTGTAAATCAGGAACAAAAACAGAAGTTGCTGGAAAAGCTTAGCAGGTCTGGCAGCATCTATGAAGAAAAATCAGGATTAACGTTTCGGGTCCAGTGACCCTTCCTCAGGCTTGCTGCAGTTCTCATCAGAAACCAGAGAAGGAATAATGCTAACGAAACACCAGGTTAATCCTTGGATCTTACAATAGCCAATGTGCAGCACTCTCTCTCTGATCTTCCCTCTTCCTTCACAAAGCATCCAGACTCTACTCAATGTCACTTACTGGAAGAGTTAGACCTTGCTGTGTATGACATTGCATATCTTCACATATTTCAAATCTTTCACATTTCAGCTGCCTAATGGGTTCTAGGTCCTAGCATTTGAAAATGAGTCTCTAAAGCATTTGCTCATCATTTGCAGAAATGAAATCTTTGTTTAAATAGCCTTGGAATTGATGTATACGATAGAGGACATGTATCTATCTACATAGGGAAGATTTTCCAGCAGTTTCAGGGCAGAGATGAAGAGAAAGCTTTTCTCTCTGAGGGCTGTGTGACTTTGAAACTTTCTGCCTCAGAAGGCAGTGGAGGTGGGTTATAGACTTAGTGCTGTACCGCAACTCGTCCATGCTGACCAGATATCCAAATTAATCCAGTCCCATTTGCCAGTATTTGGCCCATATCCTTCTAATCCCTTCCTATTCATTCATCAATCCAAATGCCTTCTAAATGTTGTAACTGTGCCAGCCTTCACCACTTCCTCTGGCAGCTCATTCCATACATGCACCACGCTCTGTGTGAAAAAGTTGTCCCTCTCAACTTAAACCTATGCCCTCTATGTTTGGACTCCCCCACCCTGGGAAAAGACCTAGCTATTCACCCTATCCATGCCCCTCATGATTTTATAAACCTGTATAAGGTCATCCCTCAGCCTCTGATGCTCCAGGGAAAATAGCCGCAACCTTTTCAGCCTCTTGCTATAGTTCAAATCCTCCAACCCTGGCAACATCCTTTTCTGAACCCTTCTAAGTTTCACAACATCCTTCCTATAGCAGGGAGACTAGAATTGCTTGCAGTATTCCAGAAGTGGCCCAGCCAATGTCCTGTACAGTTGCAACGTGACCTCCCAACTCCTGTACTCAATGCACTGACCAATAAAGGCAAGCATACCAAACACCTTCTTCACTATCCTGTCTACCTGGGATTTGCATCTGTCCTATCCTGATTTGCATCTCCAAAATGCAGCACCTCACATGTATCTAAATTAAACTCCACTTGTCATTCCTCGGCCCATTGGCCCATCTTATGAAGGTCCCATTGTACTCTGAGATAACCTTCTTCGCTATTCACCTCACCCCCAATTTTGGTGTCATCTGCAAACTTACTAACCATACCTCCTATGTTCACATCCAAACCATTTATATAAATGACAAAAAGCAGTAGACCCAGCACCAATCCTCCAGTCACAGGCCTCCAGTCTGAAATGCAACCCTCCACCACCACCCTCTATGTTCTACCTTCGAGCCAGTTCTGTATCCAAATGGCTAGTTCTCCCTGCATTCCATGTGATCTAACCTTGCTAACCAGTCTACCATGCTGAACCTTGTCGAATGACTTACTGAAGTCCATATAGATTACATCTACCACTCTGCTTTCACCAATTCTCTTTGTTACTTCTTCAAAAAATTCAATCAAGTTAGTGAGGCACAATTTCCCATGCACAAAGCCATGTTGACTATCCCTAATTAGTCCTCACAACTAATCAGACGCCATTTCCGCCACCTCCAGCAAGATGCCACCACCAGACACATATTCCCCTCCCCTCCCTTGTCCGCCTTCCGCAGGGACCGTTCCCTCCGGGACACCCTGGTCCACACTTCCTTCACCCCCAACACCTCCCCACAGCCCTACGGCACCTTCCCCTGTAACCGGCAAAGGTGCAACACCTGCCCATTTACCTCCTCCCTCCCCAGAATCCAAGGGTCCAAACATACCTTCCAGGTGAAGCAACACTTCATCTGCACTTCCCAGAATCTAGTCTACTGCATTCGCTGCCCACAATGTGGTCTCCTCTACACTGGGGAAACGAAGCATAGACTTGGCGACCGCTTCGCAGAACATCTACGTTTTACTCACAAAAAAGACCCTGAACTACCTGTTGCCTGCCACTTCAATGCACCACCTTGCTCCCTGGCCAACATCTCTGTCTCCGGCTTGCTACAGTGTTCCAGTGAAGCCCAATGCAGGCTGGAGGAACAACACCTCATTTTCTGCTTGGGGACCCTACAGCCCTCCGGACTCAATATTGAGTTCAATAATTTTAGGGCCTAAACTTTCCCATGTCCCAGTCCCCCACCCTACACATCAGGCCTTGTTACCACATAGCCTGCCACTACACACCCCCTGTTGTTAGTCACTAACAGTCCCCATTAACAACTACTCACCCTCCCAGCCTGATCGTTAGCAACTCCTTTGTCTGTCCAACTGTCTTTCTCTCTCTTCAGGCTCTTTCCTATCGTTTACTCCCTATCCTACCCACCTCCCTATTTTCTGCATATAAACTAACGATTTCTCAGCCACCATCAGTTCTGAGGAAGGGTCACTGGACCCGAAACGTTAACTCTGTTTTCTCCTCCTCGGATGTTGCCAGACCTGCTGAGCTTTTCCAGCAACTTTGTTTTTGTTCCTGATTTACAGCACCCATGGTTCTTTTGGTTCCTAATTAGTCCTCGCCTTTCCAAATACACATAAATCCTGTCCCTCAGGATCCACTCCAACAACTTGCCCACCACTGATGTCGGGCTCACCAGTCTGTAGTTCCCTGGTTTTTGCTTACCACTTTCTTAAATAGTGGTACTACATTAGCCAACCTTCAGTTGGCCAGCATCTCAGCTGTGGCTATCAATGATACAATATTTCAGCAAGGGGCCCAGCAAACAGAATTTTTTTTTATTCAACCTATTTTTCTAATGTTATTACACACCTCTGGATCACATAGGACTTGAACCCAGGCTGCCTGGTCCAGGGGTAGGAAAACTTCCACTGAGACACAAGAAGGCTCATCGAATACTTTTAAGGTAGAAGTGGATAGAGTCTCGTTAGGGAATGTAATTGGAGGTTACTGGGGACAGATAGGAATGTGAAGGTCAAAACACGAGTGATCAGCCATGATCTTCTTAAGCAGGCTTGAGGGGCCGAATGGTCTACTTCTGCTCCTATTTCATAGGCACCCTGAAACATTTTTTTTATTATTCATTCAAGGGAATGTGGATGTCGCTAGCTAGGCCAGCATTTAATGTCCATCTCTAACATTCAGCACATATTGATAATTAATGAGAATTGAACGAGGGCCTTATAGCAAAGCCTGCCCATTGAACATCTTTCCAAAGGGAATTTCCAACATCTGATGTCCACAAAACTAAATTCTTTACCTTTTGATGTATCTGCCGCTCATTGCCATCTGTTCCCGATCGTCCATCACTCGGGCAGGTTGGCTGGCCACCACACCATCCTGGTTATTCCCCCACACCTTCTTGTAGGCTCCTCCTGCCTCAAAGTTCTTTAACCTTAGAAGTAGGAAACGTACAAGAAGTTTAGTTGTTTTGATCTATCATGGCCTGGAACCAACACCTGCCCAGCGACACAATGTGCCCATATTATATCCACAGATCACAGGGCAACCTGTGGTGTCTGATGCAGACGTAATAGTTACAAAACCTGACACAGTGCCTTTTACACTGAAGTATGTTTCCCAACTGAGGCTTATCCAAAACACCTCCAAAGCTGAAATCAGGTAACAAATGCTTTGAACCATTATCACTCCAGATCATGCACACATGCCAGCAATCCCAATGCCTCAGTGGAATTCTACCACGAGCAACGTGCAATCAAAGTGCATTGTGGCTTCACCAAATATGCACATCCATAAAAAGGTATTTGTATAAACACTTTTATGTAACTACATGAGGGGGTATAGCTGTTTTTTCTTTCCCCATCAATTTTCCCTTCTGAGTTCTGGAGGTGAGCTCAATGGACTTGGATGTGAGAGTCCACAGACACTCAAACACTGCCGCTTTAAAATAATTGTTCAAATCATGGGTCTTAATCTTTTGAGAAAAGCAAAGTTAAAGCTTCCACATTTATTGTTCATAATCTGTTTCATGATGTATACTTCCAGACCACAAATGCTGTTCCTGTTGTCAATTTTTTTCAGTCACATGTTTGTGTCAACATTTACCACTGCAAACAGCAATTGTTTCTCCACATCACTGTAGTGACCACACTTCAAAAATACTCCATTTTCTGTCAAGCACTTTGAAATATCTTCAGGTTGTGAAAGGCTCTACTAAGTGTTTCTCAATTCGTTTTTTCCTATGCTAACTGTAATGATGCTGCAGCTGCAATTACTTGCCACTAAATGACACTCTGGGGAAGAATCTGAAGGCCCTTTAGCAGGACTTGTATAGAAAGATAATTTTGATTAAAGTCACTTCAGGCTATTACCATGGTATTTAAATAAGATATGAAATTTGATTTCACACTTGTACAAGTTCTTTAGTTTTTTTTAAAAGGAAACAACTGCTTGGTTTACATAAACGTATAGGCTGCAATTCTCTTAAATGAAGGCAGAAGTGTCCTCAGATGATGAGTCCTCAACATCAACATCACATCAAGATCTGTAATTTCTATGACATAAACAGTTTATCTTATTCCAAGTTCTGTACATAGGTAACAAATGCTAAATATCTGTGGCCAGGCTCCACATACTAAATGCCAAGCTTTGTGTGACTGTAGCCAAAGTCTTTGTACTCATGCACAAACCCTACATACCTTTGGCCAGGTTTAGATACCTATGACTAAGTTCTGCAACCTCACCAACAGGTTCTGCATTCTTTTGACCAAGCACTACATCCCTGCCTGCAAGCTATGTGGAGGTATAATGAAGTTCTGCATCCCTACAACCAAAATTTGCATCTCTACAATCAGGATCTGCATCTCTATGACCAAACTCTGCATCCCTATGACTACGCTCCACATATGTATGTCCAAGTTCTGCTTCCCTACAGCCAGAGGACTATTCGAGATTCTTTTTGCCCCAGATGATTTTTATGTGGCTTTTTTTTAATGTGGGTAGGGTATGTAAAAGAATCATGATAAGGAATCACACCTTCATGAAAAAGGCTGGATGGAATAGAGGGGCATTGTAAAAGAACAATTCAATGCACCGTCAGGAACAGTAACATCCTCGCTGTCTACAACCTTAAGTGCCCTGATATAACTGCCTTGTATTGAGGATATTGATTTCTAGGCAACACTGGGGGAGTAGATTTGGGTACATCCAGGCAGATGGCGATAGATGTCCCTTCAAATTCCGATTCAATTACTGGAAAAGAATATGGTGCTATATCATGGAAACACCTATCAAAAAGGTGGGCCTAACATTGAATACTGAATACAGGAGTGGGAACGGGGTTCAGCTTTTGTCTGCTAGTCACAGAAGGAAGTTGTAACTCCACACAGTTTCATAAATGCAGCGTATTGCAGAAGTATATTTCAGTGAGGTGTTTTTTAATAGTGACACAACACAGAGGTTGGCTAACTGCTGTGGCTAACAACAGAAAATAGGAAGTCAGATTCACAAGCAAGGTAGCATAAGACATAGAGATGGAAACAGAAACATAGAGATTCTGATGGAGCCATGTGATTTGTGCAAACGAATCTGAGCAAACGTTTTATTCATTCCTTATAAGACTAACATTCATTTCCCATGGTTACATTTCCCTTCAGAACTCCCTTGTGGCAGATGATCTTCTTGTTAGTCCATGTAGTGAAGGAGCTCCCACAGTGCCATTAGTGAGAACCAAGATGTGGACCCAATGATGATGAAGCAATGGTGATCTATGTCTGATTCTGGATACAGCAAAAGTTGCAGATGCCAGTGTTCCCATATCCTTCTTGGTGGAGGCAGTGGGTTTGGAAGGTGCTGTCGAACACAGCACCTGGTGACACACTGCAATACATCTTTTAAAATGGTATACCCTGGTGCTTCTGTTCATCGGTGGTGAAGGGGGTGAATGTTTAAGGTGGTAGATGTGGTGCCAATCAAACAGACTACTTTATCTTGGATGTTATGGAGCTTCTTGAGTGTTACTGAAGCTGCACTGATCCAGTAAAATGGAAAGTCTTCCACCACACTCCTGATTTGTACTTTGTAGATGGTGGACAGGCTTTGAGGAGTCAGGAGGTGAGTTTTGGCCTGCTTAAAGTAACACAACATGGACCCATTCTGATCATAGTCACCAATTGGCTATTACAGTCTGCAGACTCAGATCTGACCCCATGGAATGGGGCTCGCAGGGGCACTTTGCAAGTTAATGTTGTAACTTTATTATAGGTTTCCTTCTAGACCAATGAAAAGCAGGAGTGTTCCAAACCTTACAGAAAAAAAACCCTCAGACTTCCTTTTCTTCAAACACACTCTCCATTTTGACTCTCTACATATTTGGGGAGTGGTTTCTACATGTTCCTTACTGCAGCCTCCAAATTCCTGCCCCCCGCTGCAAGTCAGGCAATGGAATTGAATGGATTTAGGTAGGATTCTTGGAGTATTTACTTAAATGAGATCCTAGTCGGGTCAGCACAATTCACCAGAGCTATAGGCAGGTGGACACAGGCATGGATGGGTAACACAGTGTGCTCCTGTCTCATTGAAGGATTCAGACATCTAAGACTCCATTTCCCTAGCTATTAAATATTGACCCAGAAATTTGCTAGTGCACAGCATACCACTCCCAGAAGTCAGATCATTTGAGTTTGAAAATTCTTTCTGGAACTGCGAGGCGAATAGGATGTCTGGGACATCAGTGAGTGATGGGCCAATCACCCTTAACCAATGAGAGCTAACAAAGGGCAAATAAAGAAAGGAATGAGCGAAATACAAATAAAGTGGATTAAAGTCAAATCAGACACAGAAAGAGAAATATAGAGGAAACAAATTGGTTATGAGAAAGAGAAAGAGGAAGAACAGAAAATAAAGGAAAAGTTAAAAAAAATTAACTTAAATGCTAAAATCTTTTGGGACAATGTAATACCTGCAGGAAGGAGACCCCCAAAATATCAAACATTCCCCTTCCAAGCCAGAGAGCTTGAGTGGTCGTGCAGGGGCTTACATCTTGTTATTAAAAGGATCTTACATCACTAAACACTCTTCCTAACTTATTGCGATGAGTTTAATTCATATTTATGCCACAAATCCAGCAAACTCACTCCTTCTCAACATGTCAACTGGGTGAAAAGGTTAATTGGTCAGGCAATTAGGGCCCTGAAGAGGTCAAATAATGGCAACTAAGCATATCGACTAACCACCTCCCTGATCACCTCACTCCCCAATGGCGAGATAGGTGGCTAGGAGACTCCAGTGAGCTGCTTGCTGGGTTATTCAGGGGGAAGGGCCCCCACTTACCCCAAATTGGAGGCACAAATAGGAGAGGGACATGGCCAATGAAAGCCACACATCTATATGTGCCCCCAATCCCTTTCTGCCCAAAACTTTCAACCAGTGAGAGAATAAAAAAAAAAATTTACCTTCTCATTGTAGGATCCCTTGAGGAGTGGGCCTTGACTTTAGGACTATGGAGCAAGGACTGTGATAGAGTAAGATACTTGCCTTCACTATGCATGGGACAGTATGCAAATCACCTACTTAATCAACTGACCGGTGGACGATCTGGTGAGTTTCCTTACTGGTGGGGAAGCTGTGTCAGTCACACATAATAAGCTTGCCCCTCTCCCTCCCCTACAGTTAAAAAAAACTGTTGGACAATTCTGTTGTACATGTGTGACAAAAGTGCATCTTCATCAATTCACCAGTTACTTGCCATTTGGTCATTGTTCACCTTCTGTAGACTGATGGGCAGCACCTTGGTATGTGAAGGCAGTGGTGTGGGTTCATGTCCACACACAATATTCGGTGGACAATCCAATGATGTACAGAGCAAGTGTGGCACTCTCAGACATCTTCTGTGTGAGACATTAAACAAGACCCTGATGCCCCCTCAGGCGAATGTAAAACAGCTCACAGCTCTAATGGGCAAAGAGTAGGGCAGTTGCCTTGGTGTCTGACCAATGTTTATTACTCAGCCAACATCATTAATTAGCTAGTGTCACAATGCTGTTTCTGAGACCAGGTCTGCAGTGTTCCCTACCATATGATAGTGCAGACACATTGAACGTCCTTCATTGGTTGAAAAGTACTTTAAGCAGTTCTGAGATTGTGAAAGGCATTGCAAGTCTTCCTTCTTTGTTTTTACTGGGTGGGAATTTGCCTGCCAATGGTTAGGGATTGTGCTATAACAACATGGAAAAGATACCATTTAAATTATCTGATCTACTGTGGGAATACATTCACTGACCCTTTGCTCCCAATGAGAACCATGCTCACAAGCTTTATGGCCATAGGTAAGATGTCAGCTGTGTTGTGTTGATTCTTTGGGTGGTGTACTCTTTGAAGTTAATGCTCGGCTGGGAGCGTGTAATCCACCAATTATCATCATCTGTCCATTTTCAAACTCGTCCAGGTGTATTCCATTGCCTTCTCTTCCTTCCTAGGGCTATCTGCTCATCTTTCAACAATCCTGGACATGTTCAGAGCTCAAGGCAGCGTTGTGTTTTCAACACTTCACCAGTGACTTTGCTGTTGTGTGCAAACAGCACAAGTCAACTTTGCACATGATGAACAGAAAGCCACAGAAAGGTTACAGCGGAAAAAGAGGTTATTCGGCTCTTCATGTCTGCACCAGCAATAAACTAGCAGCCCATTCTAACCCTGCTCACCAACATCCAATCCGTAGCTCTGCAGGTTAAAGCTCTTCAGGTGCAGATCCAGGTTCCTTTAAATAAGTTGTGGGTTTCCACCTCAACCACCAAACTAGACAGTGATTCCAGACACCCACCATTCTCTGAATGAAAAAAATTTCCTCACATCCCTCTAATCCTTCTACTGAACAAATTAAATCTGTGCCCCAACATGTTGGAAGATACTGAATGCCTGGATTATAGTGATCTGTTTCCTCATCAGTTATTTAATCGCCACAATACTGGCCAGTAGAGTATTGCAAATATTGAATGTAGGGCGTTTATGAGTTTGCTGAGATCAATCTTATTTCTGAAACAGCAGCATTCTGAACAGGTGAATGTCCTCCTCAACTAATCTCTTTCAAAAACTCTGTCTCCTGCAGCCTAACTCATATCAAGTCAAGTTCATTCCTCAGCTACCTGGAGCTCACTGAAACACACTGGCTCCTGTTGTGGCAATATCTTGATTTTTAAAGCTGTCACTCTTGTGTTCAAATCCCCTTCTCTATTCTTCTAATCTTCTCCAGCCTGCAAACCTTTGAGATATCTGCTTTCCTTCAATTCTGGCCTATTGCGACATCCCCAATTATAATCCCTCTACCACTGGCGGCTCTACCATCAGAACTTATGAGCCAAGCTATGGAATATCCTCCTTTACACCTCTCGAACTCTCCCTGTCTTTCCTCAAATATTCCTTAAACCAAGTCTTTGTCCTAGCTTTTGATAAGCTTTCCTAATATCTCTTCATGTGGCATCAAGTTTAATTTCTTGGCCAGTGCCTTGGAACGATTTACTCAAATTGTTGTTGCTGTCATTTCCCCCCGAGACACAGGTTGGTTCACTGTGCATTTCCAGCCCCTCACATTACGGTCTAACATGGGAAATAATGTCTAAGGGAATGAAAAAACTTGCATATTTGCAGATTGCTTCTCAAAGCACTACTTCATTCATGAGGCTGTCAGCGGCTGTATGGAACCGTGTTATTTCTGAGCAAGCAGGTTTCAGGCAGGCATGCAGGCAGGCAGAGGGGCCTCTGGGGCCGACAGTTGGCACCTACTTATTGCAGGGGCAGGAACAAAGGCCACAGCATTTGCCCAGATCCGAGAGATTTTTTTCTGCTTCTTTCATGTCCTTATTGATTTGATCCATTCCCTCTTCAATCCTCTCCAGTTGCTCTGAATGAGGAAGACAGTTAGTTTCTACAGACACTGACAACAAACGAGCAGGGGATCAGCGAAGCCCCCAAACTGATTGGGGTTGGACCAAGGTAACGGTAAAGTGAGATACGGGCACTTTTGGCAAACTTCAGGCTGTTGGATGTTGATGCCCCCGATTGGCACCCGGACCACACTTTACAGCAGCCCCTTTCAGTGTGGGATTCTCTCATCCCTCTGAAGAATTACACACTTTTTGAATGAAGGAAAAGAGAGAAATGGACAGACAGAAAAACAGTACCAACATGGACACAGGAATTTCTTGCATATATCTGACTCATTACACCCAATGTTGGGCTTTGAAAGCCAATGGCTCAGGACTGAAGGGAAAGTTCTTTGGGTTTTACTATACCCTTTCTCTGTGGCTATGAGTGCTCATTGGGGAAGGATGCTTGACCTGCAATTTCAGTATAATACAGATCACGCTTCAGACAGTAGATCCTTTTGCATGACTCCAAAAACATGCTTTGACTCTAAGATCAGCTAAGAGCCTTCAACTGTCTTTTCCTTTCCTCAAAGTAACCACCCATGTTTTCAAATTGCTTGCGCCCTCTATACATTTTATGAAGATTGTTCAACAATGATTAATGTGCATGCCTTAATGTTTGATTTAAACGGGATAAATCAGGGAGAATAAGGCCAGTTCTCTCAGTTGGCCAGGTGACCAGCTTATGAATAAACACCAAAGGTTCAGGGTTCAATTCCTGTTCTGGCTGAGATAGACTTGGGACAGCCTCCTTGCCGCGCAATATGAAACCACCACTGAAAAACTGCCAAAGAAACCAGCCCATATGGTTCCAAGAAAATTTGGTGAATTAGATACAGAATTGGCTGAGTGGCAAGAAGCAGAGGTAGATGGTTGAGAGGGATTTTTGTGATTGAAAGTTTGTGTTTTTTGAGGTTCCATGGGGATCAGTGTTGGGCCACATGCTGTTTGTGGGCTGTGTGTATATGATTTGGTCTTTAATGTAGAAGGGTTGATCAATAAGTTCACAGATGATACAAAAACTGGTGGGGTGGCAAATATTGAGGAAGATAGCCTTAGAATACAGGAAGATACAGATGGGCTGGTTAGATGGACTGATAGTGGCAAATAGAATTCAGTTTGGACAAGTGTGAGGTGTTGCACTTAGGCAAGTTAAACAAGGCAAGTGAATACATGATGAACGGTAGGACCCTGGGAAGCAAGGAGGATCAAAGGGACTTTAGTGTGCATGTCTGCTAGTCCCTTAAGGTAACGGGACAGGCAGATAAAGTGGTTATGAAGGCATATGACATACTTGCCTTTTTTAAAGAAAATTGCTATTTTTGTTCTGCATCATTCAGCAGTAAATGAAAATGTTAAACACACTTTTCCTAAGTAGCATTGTCTGAATCATGTCACATATATCCAAGGAATCCAGACTTGATTCTGTCACAGCACTGCCCTGTGTGCTGTTAGCTGAGGCATAGAGTTTAAGAACAGGGAGGTGATGCTGAAACTGTATAAAACATTTGTAAGGCCACAGCTTATGTACCTGTGTACAGTTCTGGAATCCACGTTATAGGAGTGGTGTGATAGCACTGAACAGGGTGCAGAGGAGATTACCAGGATGCTTCCAGGGCTGGGAAATTTTAGTTATGAAGAGAGATTGCTTTCCTTGGAGCAGAGGAGATCGGGGCGGGAGGTCATGATAGAGATAAATAAAATTATGAGGTGCAATGTACAGGATAGACCAGAATAAACTTTTCACCTTGGAGGAGGGATAAATGACCCAGGGCATAGATTTAAGCTAAGGGGCAGGAGGTTTAGAGGGGGAAATGTGAGGAAAGATGTTTTTACCCAGAAGGTGGTGGGAATCTGGAACTCACTGCCTGTAAGGGTGGTTGAGGCTAAAATGCTCATAACAATTAAGATTTAGATGTACACTTACAATGCCAAGGCTGTGGGCCAAGCACTGGGAAATGGGATTAGAATAGTTAGGTGCTTGTTTCTGACTGATGCAGACTTGATGGGCCAAATAAAAGCAGAGTGTTGGGGATCTGAAATAAAAACAGAGAATGCTGGCAAAACTCAGCATGTCTGGCAGTGCCTGTAGAGACAGAGAAGCAAAGTTAATGTTTTGAGGCTGCTCTGACACTTCTTCAGAATTCAGAACACTCATAACAGCTCTGAAGAAGAGTCATATTGGACTCAAAATGTTAATTCTGTTTTTTAGTCTCTCACAGATGTTACTAGAGGTGCTGAATTTCTTCAGCATTTTCAGTTATTATTTAATAAATAGATAGTGCTGTACTGAATATGTTAAAATATCTGCCAACTTCATTAATTCTCTGACGGAAATGACTGACTTTAAATGTTGTTAAATTTCCCTAACTGCCTGAACAATCACCAAGGGGCTTATAATCCTTTGATTATCAAAGGGATTACTTTAATTTGTTTAAGCCTACTTTCTGTGCGTCATTGTCAATTGATTAACATGAGCAGATACTCCCAAATTAAGTCTCTGTGGATGTATTATCCAGAAGAGATACAACTGATGTCCTGAGATATGAGACACTATTGTTATTGTTTATTATGTTTAAGACAGAGATTGATAGATTCTTGATGACCAAAGGGATGAAAGATGTTGGAGGTATGCAAGAATGTAGAGTTGAGGTTAAAATCAAATCGGCCATCATCTTGTTGAATGGTGGAAGAGGCTCAAAGAGCTGAGTTGCCTACTTTTGCTGCTTGTTTGTACATTAGCATGAATGGTGCTCAAATTGATGAAGCACAGTGAAGTATTTGGCAGCTGTGTGCCAATAGCATTTCTGGAATGGGATACTAAGGACAGTCCTTCATCTCGTTTTGCAAATACAATACTAACTGGAATTATGTTACTGCTTGTTTTGCACACACAGGGATCAGTGCTGGGACCTCAGCTGTTCGTGATCAACATAAATGATTTGGAGGAAAATGTAGCTGGTCTAATTAGTAAGTTTGCAGACGATACAAAGATTGATGGAGTTGTGGATAGTATGGAGGATTGTCAGAGGATACAACAGGACATAGACTAGTTGGAGGCATGGGCAGAAAAATAGCAGATGGGGTTTAATCCAGACAAATGTGAGGTGACGCATTTTGGAAGGTCAAGTACGGCTGAAATTACACACAGAATGACCCCTAGGAGTATTGACATGCAGACGGATCTGGGTGTGCAGGTTCACAGATCACTCAAGGTGGCAGTGTAGTTAGATAAGGTAGTAAAAAAGGCTTACGGTATGCTTGCCTTCATTGGAAGAGGCATTGAGTATAAGGATAGAAAAGTTATGCTGCAGCTTTATAGAACTTTAGTTAGGCCACACTTGGAATATTGCCTACAGTTCTGGTCACCACACTACAAGAAGGATATGGATGCTTTAAAGAGGGTACATAAAAGGTTCACCAGGATGTTGCCTGGTATAGGGGATTTTAGCTATGAAGAAAGGTTGGATGAACTGGGTTTGTTTTCACTGGAACACAGGAGGTTGAGGGGCGACCTGAAAGAAGTTTATAAGATTGTGAATGGCATGAATAGAGTGGAAAGTATGAGTCTTTTTCCCAGGGTGGAGGGGTCTATTACTAGGGGACACAGGTTCAAGTTGCAAGGGGGGAAGTTTAAAAGAGATGTGCGAGGTACATTTTTCACACAAAGGGTGGTGAGTGCCTGGAACGCGCTGCCAGAGGAGGTGGAGGAAGCAGGCACAATAGCAGCATTCAAGAAGCTCCTGGATGAACACATGAATAGGAAGGGAATAGATGGATACAGGTCCTGTAAGTGAAGACAGTTTTAAAATGGAAGGGTAAAATGTGTTGGTGCAGGCTTGGAGGGACAAAGAGCCTATTCCTATGCTGAATTGTTCTTTGTTTATACCTTGAGTTAAATTAGTGCTGTATTTGTTGCCTTTATATTGTCTGTAAGTTTGGCCCTGTAATCATGCTTTGAAAGATGGCTCCCTCGGTGGCTTAGTTGATAAAGGCACTGAGCCCCACACACCACAGGCTTGATTCAGGTTTTATTGATGTTAATGGGCTAAGCTCAAGTAACAGTGAAATGGAAATGGCTTTAGCACCAACAGATTGAAGCAGAAGTGAAGAAACAGCCAGAATTCCCTTGCTCCAACTCTGGAATATGCATGTGTCAGAAGAGGGCCAAGTAGGGAGAGTTGTAAAGTACTCCTTGGTTAACCAGCCTGACAACACTTCCAATGGCTCACTTTATGTTCAGTGAGCAGGTCAATATGTCTTCTTTAGACCTGGGTTGATTGAGTGCAGTAGTTGAATTGATGTCTTTGCATTGTTTGTCCAGGGAGAGAAAAGGCTGGATGGGTGAAATAGATCAGGATGAATGCCCCAGATCACCTTCTCCTTCTCGATCTGCAGTCAGCGCTGTTAGAAAATGGGAAAGGATTATATGGGGTGGAATTTTTAAAGTGCATCCAGCAGAGCTTTTGTTGCCATTATGTAGATAGTCCTACTAAAGAAGGGCAGTGCTAGGCCTAATCCTAGGGAATGAAGCCGGTCAAGTGGTTGAAGTGTCAGCGTTGTGAGCATTTTGGGGATAGTAACCATAACTCTAAGTTTAAAACTTATTACAGAAAGGAATAAGGACATTGCAGAAGTTAAGTGTCTAAGTTGGGGGAAGGTTGATTTTAATATCATTGGACAGGATCTGACAGAGATAGACTGGGTGCAGCTATTTGCAAGTAGGTCTACATTTGGAAAGTGGGAGTTTTTTAAAAAGTAGTATAGTGAGAATTCAGGCAAGTGTGTTCCTTTAAGAGTAAAGGGCAAGGGCAGCAGATCCAGGGAACCCTGTGTGTCAAGGGATATTGAAAATTTTGTAAAGAAAAAGAAAGAAGCATATGTCACGTACAGGGGAGGCTCTTCAAAAGTATAGAGACTGCGGGAGGTTGCTTAAAAAGTAAATTAGGAAGGCAAAAAGGGGCCACAAAATACC